TATGAATTGGCGCTATACAAATCAAATTGAATTGAACTCTTTAGCTAATGGTTTCATTATCATATAACTCTCTGCCAATAAATAAATGACCTCACGTTTTAATGCCTTTCTTCACCATCTGTGATGTGAAAACAACACATTTCTACCCAGTCTCAGCTTCCGGCTCATAGTTCAGTTATAAAAACCTAGTGCACCATGTAGGGACAGGCAGACTGGAGTTGCAATGCCCTCCATTTCTATTACATATATAGTTTTGTGGTTTGTGTTTGAGTTTGTGTTGATGGCAACGCAAAAATGGTCATAATTACGGATGAGTACCTGGCAGACTAGAATACTTGTAGGTGTATATGATGCCCTGTCAGGTCTGGAAGAACTGAATTCCTGGTACCTCACACTGTAGAAAATCGAGTACTGTTTCTGAACTTTGGCATCGTCTTGGTACCCAAGTATCGGTTCTTGTGACATCCCTAGTCAGAAAGGCAGTGAGCTTTGCCTGAGGTCCCACATATTCTGCACAAACCTAGAGCCGGGAGTTCTGTAGTCCTGGGCAAGACTTATCACTAGGGAGGATGGAATGAGGGCACCACTGAGTATGCACACACACAGAAACACATAGGTCTTTACCGGCTGGTTGGGGTTCCAGGGGCCTATGTGCTGGGGGTCATACCACGCAGGCTTGTTGGAGGGGATATCCGAGGGTCCACTGGGGTTGCTGGGGTCCTGTGGTCTGGATGAAGCAGCATCAAACTCCCCAGGAGGACCCGACATGGGAGGCTTTACATCACCTGCACACAATGCACACTGACACATTACAGCACAGACATGCAGTATGTACAGCAAAACTGTTGCAACTGTTATATGTCTTTTCTTAAATCTGTACCAGGTTGAGCCTCTGGTCTGGTTAAGTGAGTGTCTTCTCACCAGCTTGTGTGGTCATAGGTGGGGCCTTTTCAGCCTCGGCGGGGGTAGATAGTTGTGCTACAGGGGCAGGCTGTGGTTGCTGCTTTAAGCTGGCAACAAACTCTTCGTGCTGGGTCTTCAAAGCCTGGATCTGCTGCTGGAAGGCCAGCTGGATCGGCTGCACCACCGCAGCATACTCTGTTATCAGAGATGCCTGAGAAAGAGGACAAGGGGGTCAAATGTGAGACTGTCGCTGGGTAATTAGGGCTTTATTTTCCTGAAATAGGGCGAAATGCAAGCAAAATGGCTGGGTACAACTTAATTTTGGTGAACATAGCCATTGCTGTTAACCAGGTGCAACTGGCACTAAGTGGAAGTGAGACTGCATACATTATTAGTCAAAACAAAAGACAAAATTAGCAGGTGAGTCAGATTGTGAGATTCAGTGACAGACAATCAAATGAGCTCCCCTCATCCCCCTTTAAAAGCACCAAAAACAAAGGCTGAGTTCTCCATTAAGCACCAAACTGCTAAATAGAAATTACACAACAATCTGAATATGAACATACATTACTCCACTTATGCTGTCAATATATGTATATTAGTGTATCTTGTTAAAGTTGTGCAAACAATTAATATAGACTAATTAATATATTAAAATTCTGTAGTTTTTCATCTCCTCTGCATATCTGAAACTGAATTGAGGAAGTCCAATAAAAATAAAGTCTTCGAGTCTTTAAGAAAACGAACAAATGAATTACCGGCTCGCAGTTGGATCCTTTCAGTTTACATCCATATCTGTCCAGACTCATGAAATATTTAGTAAAGACTTTGAAGGCTTTTGGCAAAAGGTATTAAGTTCCCCATGAGAAACACGCGATCTTGACTTATTCACTATTTCTTCTTACTTCACTATTTTTACAGAGGACTTATAAAAGGTTTGTCACATGGTGCAATGACAATCACCTGAAGCTCAATATCAGCTAAACCAATGAGCTTCTGGTGGACTGTCTGTGTCTACTTCACTGAGGAAAACAAAAAACAGAGTCAATTAATCTAAAAACTACAGGTTATAAAGATCTTTTAAAAAAACAAAAATGTGAAATTATCAGTTATCTTATCAGTATCAACCATGAGAAGCAGGTAATTATCAGTTATCGTAACAGCTAAAAAAAAAAAAATCCATATTGTGCATCCCTAATAGTCATAGTGTTGGATAATGGCCAGAAATGCGTTTATGATGTCATAACATCCTGGACCTTTTGGGTGAAAAAAAAGTAAAGGGTGCTTTAGGCTGCAGGCAGGGCTAAGCTCCTGCTCGGTGGAAAGATAAGGCAGCAGTGGAGAGTCACACTTTTAAAGGGAGAGAAAAGTTCCCTTCTAGGTTAGGTTTGTAGGTTTGTTAGGCTATTTCAGAGGTTATTTTGGTATTTTTGAAAAAAAAAAAAAGAAAAAAGAAAACATTAGGGAACAGTTTGGATGCATGACGTTTTTTTTCTTCATGCAATGCAGAGCTTGTGGCAATATTTGTCAGATCAACCCCTACAAGCTATTAACCTGTATTTTCTAAGAAATACAAGTATAGGGTGGGCCATAGTTATTGGCAGATACTCAATATTAAAAGACTCAGATTGAATATGAGGAAACCAAACATTTGATCGGGACATCCTTAATAAAAACTGTTTGTGTTATTCCACCCACTTGGTACTGGCCGAGGCCCAGTGCTGGATTCTGAAGCTGCTGAATGGTCTCCTCATCAAAGTACCCATTCTTCTCCCAAAGTTGCAACAACTACAGAGGAGGAGGGGGGTGGGAAGAATCAGAGAAAAATAACTTTAGACTCAGGGACAACAGTACAGACTCTTCCTAGATATCCATAACCCTGTCTCCAGTTCACCGCTTTTCCTTCGTTGGACCACTGCATACCGGGAACACCCTACAAGAGCATCCAGCCATTACAATTTGGCCCTCGCTCTAATCCTCAAGCTGCCGATTATTCTTGCTTCTAACACATCAACTTTGAGGACAAAATGTTCACATGCTGCCTGATATATCCCACCCACTGACAGGTGCCATGATAACCACATAAGTGTTATTCACCTTCACGCTGTAGTGCTCATAATATTATGGCTGAATTCGTATATGTGCTTTTAAATCAGAAGGTGTTTACCCGAGTGAATCTTCTGTGCTTCTCTTCCTCTACAGCCAAAAAGCTGGTGGCAGTAGATGGGAAACCACAACTTTCTGCAGCGCTGCCAACAAATCCTTCTGCTGCTTCCGCTGGCTGGCAGGACACATTAAAACACACATCACGTTGCAAAGGGAATATCCTAAAAGCTGCTCCAAAATCATCTTCTCACTTCCCACAAAGTCAATTTTTAATGCCCAAATACACTTCTTAATACAAGAACTACTAATATATATTTTTAGCTTCAAAATGTGGTTGTCTTTTCAACATAGGGTAGTCTAGCACGAAGCATACCTAAGTACAAGAAAGGAGAAATTTGACTGAGTCGCGACATGTTAATCACAGTTTCACTGTACCTGAATGTATTTAATAAAACACATTATATTTGGTCAAATATAAATGTTAATTGATTAGCAATGGCTCCCTAATACCCTAAACCTATGTTTGTTCAATAATTAATACAGTTTTAGACACAGTTAGTGGTTTTTATACTTGCATAGGTACAGTATGTGTTCTTGTAATCAGAGAACATGTTAATGAAGGTTTACTCAGGTCTTTATAACTCCCTAGAAGGCTAATGACATTATAACATCTAATGAACAAAGAGTACGGGTCAAGTGATCTACATGTGTTTATGTATGCATTTAGGTATGTGTACCAGTGATGGAGAACGTCATTGGTTAAATAGATCAGATGTAGGCGGAGCTCAAAATGCGCTCCATCAGCAGTGATGCGGTTGCGAAGATGTGACGTCATCAGTTCACAGTGCGGTGGAGTCTTGGCATTGTTGAACATCCAGTTCTTACCAGCCTGAGAGAAGGACAAAAACATAAGTGACATGTAAAGCTTTTCTTCAATTATTTTAGGAAACTATAAGCACCCCTAAAAAAACTCCAAGATGGAAGACCTACAGAGATAGCATCTTTGGTGCAGGTGTCTATGATGGGCTGCAACAGGTTGTCAAATTCTGTGATGTCCAACTGAGTTTCCAGCAGCAGTTTTTGGGTCTGCTGCTCCATAGCCAGAGCTATGGCTGCAGTCACTTGTTCCTACATTCAGAAAGGCAGAGAAAAAAGTATTAGAAAATGCTATTGGGGACCCCGGTAGCTCACCTGGAGCTGGCGCCACCAAAATCTGAGTCCTTGCTGCTAGCCAGCATGGGGTCAATTCAACATGTGACTGGGGGTGGGGCAAAGGGTCAGTATTCAAACCGCTGGGCCACTGCAGCAAGACCCCCGGCCGTTGGTAATGGGAACAGTTCTCATTCTTTGCCCAAACTTTTTTTTTACC